TTTTTTTTGTCGGGGCCAGGGGTGCCGACCCCCGGCGCCCGGGACCCCTGCCGGGGCCCCGGGGCCGAGGCTCGACAACCCTGCTGTTGACCGCGTTCCAATGAAAATACCACTCGATTGAGTCCCGAAAAAAGCCATTAACCAATCAAAATTTTGGCTAATTCTTCAAAATTGGTAACTCCTGTAAATTCATAAATCATATCAGTGCGTCATCAATATCATCAACATCATCATCATCTTCATAATCATCATTATTATCGACATCACCATCATCATCGTTATCATCATCATCATCATCATCCTCATCATCATCATCATCAGTTTGTAATCATAGGGGTTGTTGGTGTTGCTCTTTGGTATGATCATCATCATCATACCGTTTTCATTCTAATCATTATCATCATCATCATCATCTTGTTTTCATTAGATATTGCTCTGCATCAGCACGTGAGTTGGTTGTCACCATCATTCTCATTATCATCATCTTCAGGGTGCTTTCCATCGTCATCAACAAAATCCAACAAATCCAAGCAAATGATATTTTGGTAAGTGTGTCATCAATAACTGTAGTCGGCTGGATCGGATTGTTCCCGGAGGGCTGAACAGTAGGAAAGGGGTGGGGGGAGCTCTATCCTGCAGGGGCATCGCAAGGTGGGGGGTGAATGTCTCAAAGAGTGTAGCGGCGGAGTAGGGGGTTGCCTTATTCTGGGGCAAGGACTGTATGTGGGTCAATATCAGTCCCTGCGGAGGCGGAAATGGGCAAGGGGCAGGGGGGCATGCTTTAGGTGGGAATTGCGTGCTCCTGGGGAAATGGGGGGAGAGGATTGGTCCTATATTGGTGCTGAGGGAGAGTGGGTGACTCTCCTCAGCGGAGCCAGTGTAGGGCTGAGGGGGGAGGGGTAGGGGGAGGGAGGGGCGATCTCTCTCGAAGAAATCTATCATCCAGTTTACTATAGCTTTCCATTTGGTTGCCTCTCGAGGAGGTTGTAGGAATAGGTGTTATCTGGCAAGCCATCTGTGATCCTGCGAGGGGTGGTTGAAAAGTCGGTGGCCCTCGAAGACCGATGCTGGAGCAACGCTGGCCGGAGCCGGAGCCAGGTGGCGCAACTCTGTGACCTAGCTTAGTGGGGGCGTGAGGCCTGGTAGAGAGCTCTGGGAGGTTGTTTGCGGGGGCAGTCTGTGACGAACCACTTCCCGAACCTGTGCTATCTTTCGTACCCCTTTTTTTTGCGTGTATCATACCAACCCCATAAAAACCCCGTTTCATTTTCTTGATTTTGGGTACCGCGTTTTTGGCTCCCATCTTTCGGAAGCTTTTTCGACTCCAGGGTTCTGCTTTTCCTTTCTACAATTCGAGAAATACATAGGAAATTACGTGCGCCTTAGCGAGCGCACTGGGAATTGGGCTCGACAGTAAGGAATTACGGGATAAGCGGAACGTCGATGTGTCCTTTTCGTGTGTGTGAATGTTCTTGGTCGTCTCGGGAAAAACTCTCAGAATTTTGTGCGAATACGAATAGGCATAGGATTTTATTTTCCCGCGTCGCTCTTTCGCGCGCGGATATGGTGATTTCAATTTTGAATTAGGATAGAAGCAAGCTGTAACTGTTTCGGTGCCTTTTTTCTCTCTTTTTGTTGACGACGCCGTGCACGCAAAAGCTCTCTCCCCTCTGCCCCCCCCCCCCGCATCGCTCCCTCCCGCGCTCCCTTCCCCTTCTACCTCCTCTTTCTCTCTCCCCATAACTCTT